TCGACATTCTAAACTTTTCTCTAACACCAAGAGTCACAGGGGGCTTCAACCCAAAAGACCCTAAACCTCTGAACTCCTGTACCCTAAACGCTAAACCTAAAACCCCCTGAGCCCCTAAAACCCCGAACCCGGATTTAGGGTTTAAGGTTTAGGAAATTCCTAAACCCTAAACCGCAAAACCCTGAAGAGCCGGGTGTCCCTGCAAGGCCCAATCGGTCCAAAGGAGGCCTGCGCGGGGAAGCTCTTCTGAAGGCCCTCGAATTCAAGCTTTTGGGCAGGGTTTTAGGGTAAAGAACTTTCGGCTTACAGGGCCTAGGGTTTTGGAAACTCAAGGAGTCTTGGGTCTACGGGGCCTCCGGGTGGAACATAAGGACACATGGGCCTGAATAATTTGCCGCACCGAGAGGTCTCTTCATAAGCTTAGTGCACTACAAACAGTCCTATACTAACGCTACCAAACTCCTTTTCAAATGAATACTTACCAACAACTCTTAGAGTTCTGATGGTTAAGGACCCTCGAACCCTAAACCCTGTTACAGTTCTGATTGTTAAGGACCCTCTAACCCTCAGCCCTTACAGTTCTGATTGCGAAGGACCGTCGATTAGTTACAGGGACCCATTGGGGGTATGGGGGGAGGGGGGTAGGGTATTGCACTTCCACTTCCGTAAAAGATTACCAAAGGCCCCCCTACCCCCCTACCCCTTACCCCCCTCAAGGTCCCTAAACCCCGATCACTGCCGACGCCTGTTTCAGGCCATAGGGGCCTAAAAAAACCCTAACAACCCTGACATATACTGCAAACCCTAAACCCTCTATACCCTAAACCCCGTATACCCTGAACCCTAAACCCCACACCTAAATCCTAAACCCCAAAAGCCCAAACCAAAAGCCGATGACCCGAGTACCCAATAACGACATCCCTGTCAAATTTCTGACGCTAAGCCTCAGCTTGAAATGTAATTTCCCAGATGGGTAGTTCTCTAAATTTAGGGGTCCGTTTTCGGGTCCGCAAATAATACGACACCCTGATGAAAGGGACCCTAATTTAGAGAAGTACCCGAATTGTCGATTTCAGGCGTAGGGTTTTGGGGTTTAGGGGTTCGAACCCTTATAGATCCCTGATAGATGCCTTAAGGAACGCTTGAAGGAGGAGGTTCAGGGCAGAGGGAACCCTGTACCTGAAGAGCCAATCAGCTTAAGACTATGGAGGGCATGAGGGTGTAGGGTTTAGGGTTTGAGGTTTTAGGGCTGAGGGTTCAGGGTTTACGGATTAGGGTTTAGGGTTCAGGGGTTTGAGGTTTTAGGGCTTGGGGTTTAGGGTTTAGGGTATTTCCTATTGAAACCTGAAAAGCCTTCAAGCTCTACTCGAACACTCACCAAGCCGAAATCACCAGACCCTATGAACCCTTATCCCCTAAACTCTTTCACCCCAAACCCTAAACTCTTTAACCCTAAACCTTAAACCCTGACCCCCATGTGATCTCAGGCTCCTGCCCCTGGCTTTGGCAGCTTAGCTCAGCCTCTGCGCCGGTCGGTTTTGGTTTTTTTGGATTAGGGCCTCGCGTGTTCAAGCGCCCAAGGCACTTGGCTTCGGGTTTAGGATTGGGTTTAGGTTCGGGTTTCAGGGGTTTTGGGGCAAAACCCTAAACCCTCAACCCTAAACCGGCGGCTAGTGGCTTTGGGCCTTGGGTTTCACAGGGCTCGAAATCTCGAAGCACTGAGCCCGACAACTATACATCCTCAAGGCACCCAAAGACCCGATCGATCCCTGAACGCTGTTCAAATCCCACCCTAAACGCAAACCCTGAACGCTAAACCCTGAAACCCAAACCCTAAAACCCAAAGCCCTAAGCCGTAAACCCTAAACCCTGAACCCTAAACCCTAGACCCTACACCCTAAACCCCTGAATCCTAAAC